AAAGCCCCAAAGCCTCACGCCAAAGCCTGGGTCACTGTCTCTCACAGCCCAAATGCAAGGGATAAATAGAGCCCCACTGCATGGGGACTCAATTCAGACAGTCCTTCCTCAGTTCATTTCAGCCTCCACTGGAGGACGGGCAGTTGTTGCCAAACGCCTGTCAGTGAAGAACAGTTGCCCGTTTGTTAGGGTTGTTGCAGTCCCTGTGGCAAACACTAATCAGTCATGGGGACCATGACTATGGGATTGTGGTTTAACCAAAGAGTAAGTTCAGTCCCAAAGGCACAGCTTGCAACAATAGCTTCATTGAATTACAACATATTTGAAAAGGGATGTCAAACAAGCATTAATTTATGCTACAAATATTTGTTCCGGGAGTCTGAGGAATGTGCTAGCCTTTGGGAGCTCAAAGGTGAATAAGAAACAGACTCTTTTCTTAGTAAGTTTTAAGATTTAGTGTACGAGACAAGCTGTGTGTATAAGTAATCAGAAAATACATTAGAAAGAAGTGTTGAAGGAAAATGAAAAGTAAGTGCTGGTGGGAGTGTAAGAGAGAAAGTGCTTTCAGCTGGAGCACTCAGGGAAGGCTTGATGGAGGGGCAGACATTGTAGCTGGGCCTGAAAGGCATGTAGCATTTCAACAGAAAAGAAAGGTATCCTAGTGGGAAAGGAGTAGTGTCACCATAGGCTTGAAGATGGTATAAGTTTGGGGCACAGCCCACTTTCCCCTTCCTCTTTCACTGCCTAACTCCATTCATCTCTCAGGTCTCAGCTCAAATGTTATTTGCACAAGGAAGTCTTCTCTGACCTTCTTGGGTCCCCTTTCCCCATCATAATCTTCCAAAGCATACAATATCTATTTTATTCATGTCTCCCTGCTACATTGTAAGGTTCATGAACCCTGAACTGTGTATTTATGTTATCATTTTATCAACAGTCCCATAGTAAGTGCTGTTCAGGTGCTTGATAAATATTTGTTGCATGAATAATTGAAAGCTGAAAAGTAACTTATTGTAGTAGGTATTTATTGAGAAAAATCCATATATAAGTGGACCTACACAGTTCAAACCTATGTTGTTCAAGAGTCAACTGTATATTCTTCCCTTCCTCCTCCCTCACTTCCTCTTCATTTTTCTTCTTTTATCTTTTTCTGCCTCTTGGACCATTTCTTCTCTCTCTGTCCCGTGATGTACTGTTTCTGAGGATCTGCCCGTTGCCTCCCTTCTCTCACTTTTGTTTCTGTGCAGCGTTTAAACTATTGCCCCCGCGTTGATGTCTCCCATGCCATTTTCTCTAGTCCTGATTTCTCTGGATTTCCAGACCTGCACCTCCATCTGTCTACAGGACACCTCTAGACTCTCACACTCAGACTGAACTCATTTCCTTCCCTCCCCAGTTGCTTTTCCATTTTACTTTCCAATTCATATTAATAGCATTCCATCTGGATATAAACCTCTCTCTCCATAGCTCTCAGATTCATTCAGACACAAAGTCCTGTGATTTCTGCTCCTAAAATTCCTTCGTCTTAATTCATGTTCTAATCAGCTCTCATCTTAGGTGGTCTCCCTGCTGAAGTGATTTTTTATTTTAAAGATGGGTCATGTGACTCTTCTGCTTAAAGACCTCCCAGGCACTCTGCACTTTGAATGAAGTTCAGTCTCTGAAGAGAATATTCAAGGCCTTTCACAAACTCAAACTCCAGTTTCATTCCAGCCTCATTTTCTGCATCTCCACCCAACAAACTTGACTCTGGAAACCCACCTGAAACATCCTCTAGAAGCACACCGTGACTTTTCACTCTCTGGGCTTTATTTCTGCTCTGCTCACAACACTGATTTTTTTTTTCCTTTACATTTTGGATCTCAGGCTCAGAATGTTGAATTATTCACACTCCACAGTTCATGCCATACTATTGTAACTGACCCTTCCCAAGTCCTTCACTTGTTATGTATTTTTTTTTTTTTTTT